GTCCTCTCGCAGGCCTGGACCTGCAGGGGGGCGCTTACGTGCTGACGTCGGCGCCCGGCACTGCTGGGGTCCGGCTGACGTAGCATGGGCCTGATGGCGTCATTTCCGGGAATCATCGGAGGGCAGCGGGCAATACGGTGACAGCTAATGTGTATTTTCTTTGGATTTCTTGTTGTAAAAGGGGAATTGGCCCTCGTCTATAGTAATGTCAAAAAACTGACAACGGTCCCTACACGCCACAAAACTCCGTTTCCTTAAACGTGCTTTTATGCCTCATACTTTCCCGGTCGCCGAGCGTCCTGTCCTAAAAATCTCCTTTTACCACTACCCAAAGTTTCAAAACGGATTTTACTCTGTCAGAAAAAGAAGAGACAAACGGCTGCATTTACAAGATACAACTTTCAGGGTGTGTTGTTTTTTTTTAAACGGGCAGGGTATAGTTCTTAAGATTGATCGCCGTTGGTACGCCTAAGCATTTTTCAAACGTTTTATTATGAAAAATGTCAAGCATATACAAAAGTAAACTAATATAATGAAACCCCATGTACATACCGTTACCAATCTTTAAAAATTATCAACTAATGTCCCATCTTGTTTCATATATACCAGCAGTCAGCAAACTGTAAAAGCCAGAGAGTAAATATTTTAGGTTTTGTTGACAACAAAAATCAAAATTAGGATAATTCATGACACATGAAAAATTGGTGAAATTCAAGTTTCAGTGTTGTAAAGATGGTTGGGATAGAGCCATGCCCATTCCTTTACTATTAATAGCTACTTTCCCTCCAAGATGACTGAGTTGGGAGTAAATAGAGTAGTTGTTTGCAAATTATGCCTTTTCAGCATCTCTCCTTGGCTGGCTAACAGGCATGTGCGGCTCAGAAGGACGGTGAGGAATTCCTCTTGCTATTATAGTCATTAGCAGTTCCATTCTTCCAGCTGGTCAGTCCAAGAACCTCGGGGGTATCCTTGCCACCTGTCGCATATACAGTATGTCACATTCAATCTAATCCTTTCAGCTATATCTTCAAAATCTATCCAGAATTTAACCATTATCTACTCCACCACCACTACCACCCTGATGTGAATTACCATTAAATCTTTTCTGGTTTGCCCGGCAGTGTGGCTCTCAGTTGGTTGAGTGTCAGCCCATGCACCAGAAGGTCACCGGTTTGATTCCCAGTCGGGGCACATGCCCAGGTTGCGGGTTCCACCCCCCACGAGGGGGTGTGCAGGAGGTACCCGTTCATCTCTCTCACTGATGTTTCTATATTTCACTTCCTCGCTCTGAAATCAATAAAAACATTATTTTAAAGCAAAAAAAAAAACCTTGAAAATAATATTTTCTGGTTTATTGCAAAGCCAATTTTTCTCCCTGCCTCTACTTATGCACTCTCCCCACCCATGGATGACTTTCAACATTGCAACAAAAGTGATCTTTTTAACACAGAAATAAGATGCCATTCCTCTACTAAAACCTCTCCAATGGCTTCCCATCCTACCTTAAATGGCCAGGAAGGACCTGTATTTTCCTCCCACACTTTCCTAATTTCTCTAATATCCTGGGCTTCCCTTATTTCACTCCAGACACAAGTCTTCCTTGCTGCTCCTCAAATTCACAAAGCACACTGCAGTCTCAGGGATTTTACATAAACTGCCACTGAACCGGAAATGCTCTTTCCCCTGATGTCCACACACAATCTTCAAGTCTCCACTCCAGAATCCCCTTGTCCATTCCTGCAGTGTGGATGTTTGCGTACGCCAAGTTTCATATGTTGACATCCAAACCCCAATGTGATGGGGTTAGGAGGTGGGTGCTTTTGGGAGCTATTTAGGTCATGGGGGAGTGCCCTCATGAATGGGATTAGTGCTTTTATAAAATCTCACAGAACTCCCAGCCCTCTCTGCCCTGTGAGAAGGTAAGCAGAAGTCTGGGAGTTGGGAGAGGGCATTCTTCCAACAACACTAATCTTGGACTTTCAGTCTTCAGAACTGAGAAAATTAATTTATGTTTAGAAATGACCCAGTCTGGTATTTTTTACAGCATGTTGGACTCATCATAATAGCACTATAAGACACAAATGTAATCAATTTGTAAATTATAGCAAAAAATGTGTTGTCCATAAGCAAAGATGATAATGTTCTACACGCTGCTTCTCAATGTTTGCCTCACAAACTTTCAAGGAATCTTGGTAAAATGCTGATTCTGATTCAGTAGGTCTGGAATTCAGTAGGTCCGAGGTCTATCCAGCTCCCAGCTAATGCCAATGCTGCTGATCCACAGCCCACACTTTGAGTATTAACATTCCCACTGTTGATACAGATGGATTTTTGCTTTGGAGTAGTATTGATAAATTTGCATCCATCTATTCTCATCTTCTTCACCTTCCCCTTGTGACTAATGAAACAGATATTGAAGAGATGTAATCTGTGACACAAAACCAAATGAATTGCTACATGTAGGCACTGAGTCTTCAAACACAACATCATTGCAGTTACATCTAGAAAGAAAGAGATACATCATGTGACACATGGATGTTCCTGTTGGGACACAAAGGGTGGCAGTATTTTGTTTTAATGTTCACATCATAGGATCAGGCCTTAGCTTTGTCACCAGTAAGGAGACTGCCGGGCTCTGACTTACCCTAGTAAACTCACCAAGGACTAATGCATGTAACCTGTGGGGCAGGTTCCTCCTTTCTGTTCCACAGGAGGTCCCTAGCTATGCACTAAAGAGGAGAAAGTCAGGGAATTTATCTATCTTGTCTCTGTTGATGATCTTTCCCATCTAATCATTCTAATATTGGGGTAGGCAGGTAACCATTAAACTTTTGTGAACAAGGATTATCCCATTCTAATATCTCCTTTCCATTTTCCCTCAGATGAAAGACACACTTAGCATCTGAATTGCAGTGAAGGATTACTCAGTTCTTGTGCTGAAGGTTTCAACTCGACCAAAGATTATAGAGAGTCACAGGGGAGGTTAGGAGCTATGTCTTTGTTTAGGTCATTTCTTTTCTTACACCAAAAGGAAACAGTGCAATATTTCACTGCGTAGGTTTAAATAAGAAGTGTCTACTGGACAATCCCCAGTTCCCTTAGCTCTCCCAGTTCTCATCAGTCTCTCTCCAGTGAAGCTACAATCACTTTTACTCCTAACATTCCTAGAGAACCTACAACTAGGTCTGTGCCCTGACTGGGAATCAAACCTGCAATAGGACGGCTCTCCAACCACCTGAGCCACCTGGCCAGGGCTTGTCATCTTTCTTAAAAAATAAACATTTTCAATATTTGGCCAAAAGAAGGCCATGAAGGTTCTTGGCTAGCAGGACGGTTGTTGCACACTTGGACTGTCACCTTCTCCAGGCTGGTAGTTGATATCTTTTTTTCAACTTATTTTTATATTAAAAATTTAAAAATGCATGCTCCAACTGAGGCAGGATAGTAAAAAGCTATGAAAATTCCTTGGCAAGTGGAATGGGGAAACAGACTGCTGAACACACTGGCTGAGCAATTTACAGCAGATAGAGAAGGTCACCAGGGCAGAAAGCCACTGGTGCCTAGCAATGGGCAAAACTGGCATATCCTCCCTTGGCAAATCACTGACCACGTGGTTTAGATCCCCATGACCTTTCATATCACTAGTCATGGGGTGTAGACACCCCTCCACCCCCCCCCACACACACCTATCCTCCCTGGAGATAATATCTAGGCCTCAGTTATATTTCGGCTCCAGGCCCAGCAACACAAGGTAGGCAATGCTAGGACCAGCTGTGATGACTAGTGACCCCCTGCCCTGATGCCAACCAATCAGTGGAGCCTGAAAGGATACCTGGAAAAGCTGACGGATATTCTACTGAGATCCTGCCCTAAGACCTCCCCTAAATTCCCAGCCTTTAAAACCCTCCAGATGAAGCACCCTGCTCCTACTCTCCCACCCGCCCGGGAGCACAACAGCACCTTTCTCTTTTCCCTCTTCTTCCCCCACAGGTGTGCATCTCCTAAGCTCGAAGGCAGCAGTTGCCAACCTTTCGGACCTCACAGACCACCAGTGTCCACGGACCACAGGTTGGCGACTGCTGCTCTAAGGGACCCCACCAGACTTGCAACCAGGGGAGCTATGGGCAGTAGCCGCTCATCCCATGCTAACCCCTGAACCTGTTCCCAAGGCCCCCTTTTTCTGACTTTCCAGTGAGCTGACAGCAGCCCCACCTCGGCTCACTTCTTTCCTATAAGCTTTCTAGAGAGCCAAAGCAGCCCCGCCTAGGCTGTCTCCTGCTGCTGCTTCTATCCTAGGACCTTCCTTGTTCCACTGTCCCAGCTTGAATAAACATGCTCAAAACCACCTGGACTCTTTCCTGCATGAGGTCAGGAACCCACACACTACAGGCCTGCCAGAGGCAGGCCCACTCTGGCCTGGCCCCCTTTCAGGTTGCCATTGTCCTGACTGCTGGCTCAATGATTTGTATTTCATTCTGTGTAAAATTAGAGTTTTTAAGTAGAGACATGACAAGATTGAAACTATATTTGTTGTTCTAGACCTTGTGATGTATTTCCCAAGGCGACATGTAATCATACACTCCCCTCACCATACAAAATGTAGTACTTAAAATTCAGTTGAAACATGAAAGAAAATCACTTTGCTTTCATGTATAATGAACTTTCTATCATGGCTGGGAAGTTAATTAAAAGTTAAGACTTCCACAATCTACAGTCGAGAAAACTCTTTAATCAAGAAGAAAAAGGAAATTACAGGAAATTTTTTATTTAAAAATTAGCATTTTTCTCTTTTTAAGTTCTTATTTCCTGTGAAGAAAAGAAAATTTTGAGACTGGGAGAGATTTCTTGTCCTCAGAAAGCAGTTTTCTTGAAATTCAATTATTCTCATTCAAATTCATGTTAATCAATATCTGGATTTCTTTACTTGTCATGTAACAAGGAATATTTCTTTCATAGAGCAATACAATGTTGTAAGAATTAAAAAGAAAAAAGAAACAATTACTGCTACATGAAATTCTTGATCATTTTAAACTACCTTTTCTTCCTTTACATTTTTTAACTAGAAGTGGGTGAAGCTCTAGCTTCTGTGCTTACTGATAGAGTTAAAATCTATGGAACTGTAAACTCTAGTGTAATTAAAAATTAAAATGATCTCAGTGTTTCCATGGAAATAAAGACCTCATGAATAAAGAATTACTATTATGCAACTGATATAGAAGTCTGTTACTGTGAAAGCCACACATTGTTTTACAGCTACTAAAAGCTAATGTTTTTGTTTTGTTCTTGCCTATTTCCCTTGGTTAAATTCTTCTTGAAGGTCTAAATATACCCATGATTTTGATTACTAAAAACATTACAATATGTTTTCAAATGTTAATCAAACTTGAAAAGATGGAAAGATCTTAAGAGAGTGTATTTACATAAGAATTTCAAGATCTAAAAAAAAAAGAATTTCAAGATCTAATTGGCTTTAAGTGATTCATGAACAGGATAGCAACTAGAAGGATGCTCTAGTCATCTTTTAAAAGCCAAAATTTGTATTGCCAACCAACCATATTTTAGGTAAAAGCAAAATAAGTGAAAAGTTCAATAGTTTATTAAAAGTTGAATAATGGCCAGAACCGGTTTGGCTCAGTGGATAGAGCGTCGGCCTGCGGACTCAAGGGTCCCGGGTTCGATTCCGGTCAAGGGCATGTACCTTAGTTGCGGGCACATCCCCAGTGGGGGGTGTGCAGGAGGCAGCTGATCAATGTTTCTCTCTCATTGATGTTTCTGGCTCTCTATCTCTCTCCCTTCCTCTCTGTAAAAAAAAAATCAATAAAATATATTTTAAAAAAACCTTGAATAATGTATAAAAATGGTTTTTAAAAATTGATAGTTTAAGGCAGTTAGTTAAGCGCTCTGGCTGGTGTGGCTCAGTTGGTTGAGTGTTGTCCCATGCACCAAAATGTTGTCAGTTTGAGTCCCGGTCAACCCCAGTAGGGGGCGTGCAGGAGGCAGTAATTATAAATACCTGAAGTATGGAAAGTGGTGTCTCTCATACGAAACAAAGTGATTTTTCTCTTTTAGACCTACAAGACCATCTTCTTATGAGGTATTTTGGAGGAAAGGAGAGAAGAACAGAAGGGTAAACAGAAAAGAGAAAAAATGAAGGAACATAAGAGAAAGTGGAAAAGAAGAATAAAGGACTTTATATTCAAATTTGATTTTAAGGGATCTAAAAGATTTCATTTTTAAATTTTCACAATTTTCTCTTGCCTTTGCCAAGGAATCTTTTAAGGAGGCAATTTCATAATTCCTTGAATATATTTTGAAAGTTTCTTCTTGCTTTAAAATGTGGACAGGCACCTAGCTCAATTGGTTAGAGCATTGCCCTGATATACTAAGGTTGTGGGTTCAATCTCTGGTCAGAGCACATACAAGAAGTAACCAATGAATGCATAAATGAGAAGAACAAAAAATTAATATGTTTTTTCCCTCTGTCTCTCCCTCTCTTGCTCCTTGCTCTAAAATCAATAAATTAAAAAATGTGTAGACAATTGTATGTTTGGGATACTGCTCCCTTTGTGCTTCAAAGTGACTCCCAAAGGAATGATTTTGTTCATAAAAAAGTTCCTCAAAGTAACCACTGTAATTCCAAATAATGCTTATATCATTTAGAAACTTTAAGATTTGTTTTTTAAAAAATATATTTTATTGATTTTTTACAGAGAGGAAGGGGGAGGGATAGAGAGTTAGTAACATCGATGAGAGAGAAACATCAATCAGCTGCCTCCTGCACGCCCTCTACTGGGGATGTGCCCGCAACCAAGGTACATGCCCTTGACCGGGATCGAACCCGGCACCCTTCAGTCCACAGGCCGACGCTCTATCCACTGAGCCACACCGGTCAGGGCAAGATTTGTTTTGATTCTAATATAAATACATATAAGATGCAGGAGTTCAACCCAGTTGGGTACAGAATTAGACTAAAAATAAACCTATGAGTCTGGCAATAGTCAGTCAAATCTTGTGCACCTTTGTATCTTGGGGACCTCCCCCTCCAAAAGAGAACTAGATCTTCATGAATAAAATAACACAACTGTGAGTAAAATTTGATAAGATTTTCATAAATGACCTGAGGCATTTTTCCAAAGGATGCCAGTCTGAAGAGAAGTCTTCTGAGTAAACTAGCTTACACCCATCTTAATACCTCTGGACTTCTTCTTACAGATTAACAATGAAGAAATGACAAGGACAAATACACAAAAGTATTGTCAGCAATAATGCAGATTTCTACCAAAAATACGTTTTTCAAACTTGATCAATCTGGATTTTTAAAAAGAGCCTCTTAGCCCTAACCGGTTTGGCTCAGTGGATAGAGCGTCGGCCTGCGGACTGAAGGGTCCCAGGTTCGATTCCGGTCAAGGGCATGTACCTTGGTTGTGGGCACATCCCCAGTAGGGGGTGTGCAGGAGGCAGCTGATCGATGTTTCTAACTCTCTATCTCTCTCCCTTCCTCTCTGTAAAAAATCAACTTATTCCTAGATACCACTCTCAAACTAAACAAACTAAACAGCATTTGGAGTGGTTGATGAAGAAAAATAAGAAATCAAAGCTGAAACTCAATATGAACTTACCTTACCATCGTCATTGGAGAGACCCTGTGCAGGAGACTCAAAGGGCCTCGGAAAGCACGCTATTTCCAAGTTGACCAGATTTTTATAGGACCTCCAAGATCATCAAATGCTGGCTCCTTTAAAATACCTCCAAAATAACCTGTTGATAGAGCAGAACTGAATTTTTTGCTTACTGCAGTAAGGGAGGATATCTTAATAGTCTTTGTAGTGTCTTATGGGAGAAGTCAGAGGTACAATATTTATGAGTTTTGGGGATCTAGTTTAAGATGATTTTCAAAGCAGGGGATCTGGTTGGGATTGGGACAGTTTTTACATAAGAGTATTTCATATGAAATAGTGTTTACACCTAGTTTTTGACTGGACAGAGGGAGGTGAGAGTTTGGAAGTGATTCTTTCACAATCTTCTGCCTTCTCACAGTTATCTGCTGTTCCCTCCACAACCTGCATTGCTCACCAGCCTGGAACTTCTTTAATATACGATGCTTTACCCTTGAGTAGATAGTACTTATCACACCATTTCACAATTGGCTAATTATGTATATGTCTGCCAATACACTGTGAGTTCTCATGGGGTTAGGATGAGGTTTTGTTAATATATCTTACAGTCCGCAGGTAATAGTGTCTGGTTCTCAATGAATACTTAGTCACTGTTGATTGTAGCTGGAGTAAAACAAACATGCTGACTAATCGGAATTTCAATTTATGAACATAAACCTCAAATGAACCCTTAATCAAGTAGACCCATTAATAATACAGGGATGGGCAAAAGTAGGTTTATAGTTGTAATACAAATAAATAATACAACAATAAATAAATAATACAAGAAGAAAATGTGTTTCATCTACTCACAACAGTAAACCTACTTTTGCCAACCCCTTGATTATACTTCCTTAGTCTAATTACTCTCCTACTGGCTTTTGTCAACTCCCCCCACACCCACCTTCACACTTACCAAAGGACCTTGCTTATTTCACTGAGAAAACTGAAGCAATCAAAAGATAATTTCCACAAACTCTCATTTGTCCCCACCTACTAGCATCTTTACCCATGTAGGCTGCCTTGTCATCTGTTCATAGATGAGGTATCCATGCGTCTATCTAAAGTCAGACCCTTTCCTTGGGTGCTAGATTCCATCCCCTTTCTCTTACCCAAAGACATTTCTTCAGCAATTCTCTCTCCTTGACTTCCCAACTCTCTTTGGGTTGTTTTCCAATTATTTTCTATAAGGACACACCAAAATCTTAAATGCAGATGGTCATTTATTCAAAAATATTTCCCATGTATCTACCACTGTGATACATCTATGAATAAAAAAAAAAAAGACAAAGGTCCCTGCCCCATGCAGTTTAGAATCTAGTAGGTGGAGACAGATTAATTACAAAATTTATTTTATATATTTATATATTTTTATTGATTTCAGAGAGGAAGGGAGAGGGAGAGATAGAAACATCAATGATGAGAGAGAATCACTGATCGGCTGCCTCCCGCACGCCCCATACTGGGGATGGAGCCCACAACCCGGGCATGTGCCCCCGACGGGAATCGAATCCAGGATCCTTTAGTCCACAGGCCTGGTGGGCTGGTGGGAATGGGCATCCTTCTGGTCCCTTGTGAGCCTCAAGAGTTGTCCCCTCACTGAGTCAAACCAGCCAGGGCACAAAGTTTATTCTTGAGGGAACAACTCTTGAGGCTCACAAGGGACCAGAAGGATGCCCATTCCCACCAGCCCGAGTAGAAAACCGCATTAACTCAAAAGCACAGTGTAGAATACTCCAAAGGGTTTTGCTTTAACAGTGGGACAAAACGAACACTAGATTAAATGCTGCTCTGGTCCCACTTAACAAAGCTTGAAAGCAAGCCTTTCCAGGAACAAAGTGTTTTCAAGACACCTGTGTCCTAGACAAAACTCAATAATATTTATAGAAATACAAAAATATCCAGTATCTAACAAGGTAAAAATTATATCAAACGTGCAATCAAAAGTTACAAGGAGCCCTGGCCGGTTTGGCTCAGTGGATAGAGTGTCGGCCTGCAGACTGAAGGGTCCCAGTTTCGATTCCGGTCAAGAGCATATACCTTGGTTGCGGACAAATCCCCAGGAAGGGGTGTGCAGGAGGCAGCTGATCGATGTTTCTCTCTCATCGATGTTTCAAACTCTCTATCCCTCTCCCTTCCTCTCTGTAAAAAAGCAATAAAATATATTAAAAAAAAAAAGTTACAAGGAATTCAAAGAAGCAGAAAAACATACAAAAATAATGAGCAGAAAAATCAACCAACTGAAATTGTCTCAAAAAAAGTTGACAGAATTAGTAGAAAAGGACATTAAAATAATTTTTTAAAATATATTTTATTGATTTTTAACAGAGAGGAAGGGAGAGGGATAGAGAGTTAGAAACATCGATGAGAGAGAAACATCAATCAGCTGCCTCCTGCACACCTCCTACTGGGGATGTGCCCTCAACCAAGGTACATGCCCTTGACCAGAATCGAACCTGGAACCTTTCAGTCCGCAGGCTGACGCTCTATCCACTGAGCCAAACTGGTTAGGGCAGCATTAAAATAATTTTATAACTGTAGTCCATATATTCAAGAAGTTAGAGGAAAGATGCAGAATGTCAAGTAGAGACATGGATGACAAAAAAAAATTCCCAAATTAAACTTCTAAATATGAAAACTACAATGTCAGTGTTGAAAAATACACTGGATTACTAACAATACCAAGTTAATCGGGGATTAACAATATATTAGACATTTCAGAAGAAAAGATCAGTAAATTTGAATACAGAGCCATAATAAACTATACAAAATGAGATAGAAAAAAGACAAGTAATAACAAGTGTTGGAGAGGTTGTGGAGCAAAAGAAAACTCATTTGCTGCTGTTGGGACTGTAAACTACTAGTACAGCCACTATGGAAAACAGTTTGGCCATCCCTCAAAAAAATTAAGAATAGAGTTACCATATGACCCAGCAATCCCTCTTTTGGGTATCTACCTGAAAAATTTGAAAACATTTATTCTCAAAGATATATGCACCCCTATGTTCATTGGAGCATTATTCACGGTGGCCAAGACATGGAGACAACCAAAGTGTCCTTTGATAGATGACTGGATTAAGATGTGGTACATATGTACAATGGAATACTACTCAGCCATAAGAAAAGATGCAATACTGCCTGCCATTTTGCAACAGGAAAGGATCTTGAGAATATTATGCTAAGCAAAATAAGTCAGTCAGAAAAAACTAAGAACAATATGATTTCACTCATATGTGGGATATAACACTGAAACTCATAGACACAGATAACCATATGGTGGTTACGAGGGAAGAGGAATGGAGACTAGGAAAAGATAAACAGGGCCAAATACTAATATATGGTGATGGAAGATGATTTGACTGTGGGTGGTGGCACACGGTGCAATATACAAATCGTGTATCATAGAAAGGTACAATTGAAACCTATATAATCTTATTAACCAATGCCATCCTAATAAATTTAATTTTATGAAAAGATAAATTGGACTTTATCACAATCAGAAACTTCTGCCCTTTGAGAGATCCTGTTAAGAGAGGTGAAAGATAAGCTATGACCAGAAAAAAAATATTTGTAAATCACATTTCTAATAATGGACTTGTATCTAGAATGCACTTTTTAAACCTCTATAATAAGAAAACAATTCAGCTGAAGAATGGGTAAAAGATTCAAACAGACACTTCACTAAAGAAGATATACAGTTGGCAGAAAACAAAACAAAACATGAAAAAATGCTCAACAGTGTTCATTAGAGAAATGAACATTAAAACCACAATGACTTATGTGGTTGTTACTAGTATATTATTACTACACACCTATCAGAATGCCTAAAATTTAAAAGCCTGTCTATACCTAATGTTGGCTAGGATAGAGAGCACCTGTAACTCTCATACATTCTTGACAGAAATATAAAAGGCTACAGCCACTTTGAAAAATCAGTTGAAATTTTCTTAAAAGGTTAAATATATACTTAACATATAACCTAGCCATTCCAGGCCTATTTATTACCCAAGAGAAATGAAAGTATGTATCCATACAAAGACTTACACAAATGTTTATAGCAGCTTTATTTGTAATAGCCAAGAACCATAAACAACCCAGATGTCCATCAACAGGTGAATGAATAAGCAAATTATGGTATATTCATACAATTAGATACTACTCAGTAGTAAAATGGATTAAATTGTTCACCCTGTGACATAAATTCCAAAATAACTATGCTGACTGATAAAAGTCAAATAAAAATGTTCATACTATATGATTTCATTTTATAAAATTGACAAAGCAAATTGATCTTTAGTGACAGAAAGCAGTTTGGTATGTTTGGGGATGGTGGGGAGGGTGTGGGAGTAAAGGAAAAGTGGGGATGGATTGATTACAAAGGAACACTAGGAATCTTTTGGGGGTGATAGATATGTTCATTATCTTAACTGGAATGATGGTTGGATATATGTATACATATATCAAAACTTATCAAATTGGCCCCGGTTTGGCTCAGTGGATAGAGCATCGGCCTGCGGACTGAAGGGTCCCAGGTTCGATTCCGGCCAAGGGCATGTACCTCGGTTGTGGGCACACCCCCAATAGGGGCTGTGCAAGAGGCAGCTGATCGATGTTTCTCTCTCATCGATGTTTCTAACTCTCTATCCCTCTCCCTTCCTCTCTGTAAAAAATCAATAAAATATATTTTTAAAAAAACTTATCAAATTGTACACTTTAAATATGTGCAGTTTATTATATGTCAATTATACCTCAGAAAAGATATTTAAATTAAAAACTGCTGGTATCTGCCTCCCCCTTTTCCCTCTGGTTTTAGAATTCATTTTTATGAAGATATAATTAACATAAAACATTGTCTGAGTTTAAGGTATATAATATACTGATTTTATAATTTATGTATCACTAGAAGCCCAGTGCACGAATTCGTGCACCAGTGGGGTCCCTTGGCCTGGCCTGCGAGATTGGGCCCAAACCGGCTCTCTGACATCCCACGAGGGGTCCCAGATTGCGAGAGGGTGCAGGCCAGGCAGAGGGACCCCACCAGTGCATGATCAGGGCCGGGGAGAGACTCGGGAGGTTGGCCAGCTGGGGAGGGACTGCGGGAGGGCTCCAGGGCATGTCTGGCCCTTCTCGCTCAGTCCCGATTGGCCGGAGCCCAGCAGCAAGCTAACCTACCGGTTGGAGCGTCTGCCCCCTGGTGGTCAGTGCACATCATAGCAAGTGGTTGAGCTGCCTTAGCATATCATTAGCAATTACGCTTTGATTGGTTGAATGGCTGACCGAACACTTAGCATATTAGGCTTTTATTATATAGGACAATATGATTACCATCATAGTGTTAGCTAATACCTCTGCCTCATCACAAAATTTTTTTTTCGTGGTGAGAACAATTAATATCTAGTCTCTGAACAGCTTTGAAATTTATAGCACAGTATTGTTGACTATAATCACTGTGCTGTACATTAGATCTTCAGGAGTTTGGTTGTAAGCTTGTACCCTTAGACAACATCTCTCCTGCACTCTTATTACACCCATATCACATTCTCAAAGGTTTTCCATATTAACCATACAATTTATTAATTTTTCTCATGAATCAGTTTAGGATTCATTAATAAGTGAGTTTTTTTAAAATTCTGGTTTTATTCCTGAAGTTTTAACAATTCACTCAATAACAAATATTTTTATTATTTAAAAACAGAATTCATAGTTAATATATATGTGGCAAAATACTAAGGATTTGCCATTACAACTATGTTAATTAAGTAGAAATGCAGATATTAAGAATCAAAACAATACACCATTTAAGATGTCTAAAGCCTAAATCAGCTGATGAAAAAGAGTAAATCTTCTGGAGGGAGAAAGATTTTCTATGATCCTGAAAAATAGGCAGAGTGGAATTATGGGGGGGGATAAAAGCAAAGAGGGAAAAATTAATGCTGCCTCCTTTTTAAATAGCATACTCTGTCATTACTCAAAAAATATAATGCTATACTTGAAAATGTCACAGCACCAAAATGTGGGGGAAAGGAATTACTAATGCCTTACTTTGCACATTGTTTTAAAATGTTGATGGTTGGCTGAGCTGAGAGGAATGAATAAATAAATAAATATATATATATATATATATTCTCCCCAAATGTAATGATAACAGTTATTACTGGTAGTTATGCTTAAAAACTTTCAGATTCCAAATTAAACATAAATCTACTACCAGAATTCTCAGATATTAAAGTATTTATTCAGCATCTTCAAAATGAACAAAACCACCACTATCCCCAAAGTATAAAAAGAAAACTAACAAGTTTAAGAAAAAAAGCACAGCATTTTAATGAAAAAATTACATTATAACAAGGACACTATACATTAAGTTACTATATACATATATATATACACACACACTTTTAAAACTTTTTTTAAAAATCCTGGTACAAATTAAATGACAACTTTCTCATACTCACATGATTAAGTATGTACTTTGACAGAATATAAAGATGAAATACAAGCTGATGAACCTCAAAATTAGAAACTTTAATGCAGGACCAGACCCCAAAATCTAATTTCCGTCACTTTTGTAACTTTTAGAAAATATTTACCTGGTATAAGCATACACATTTTTTTCTTTTAAGTAAGTTAACTGCTTACATAGAAAATCAGTATTTAGGAAAATGCCCACCATAGCTGTGTTTATCTATAATTCATTGTAGTGTATATAAAGTTCACTTGGAGACTTGGAACATAAAAACTACAATGAAGAAACAAGCTCATCTGTAATTATGAATTTCTAAGCGCTTATTCTGAATGTCCAACTTACTACTACAGATATTGGACCTTGTGATACATGACACAAAAGAGCATTTATCCAACTTTGCTGTAGAGCTGTTAGGAGAATGCCAAATAAAGATACCGAAAATTTTATGCACTTGTATTCAACACCCTGCACATTTAAAAGATAACTGAATATTTAAAATATGTAAACATATTTTTAAAAAAGTGATACTAAGCACCTTTAAAATACAATACTGATATATTGTGACTGAATATGCATTTAGAGGACAAATGAACTTTTTAAAACTAATTTAAAAACCATTTTTAAAGAGCTACTCATTGAAATACTTACATGAAAATATTGATAGTTCCAGTTTCTACCTAAAAACCAAAAGAGTATATAATTAGGAATTTAAACTTCCTTCATCCACTTTTCTTTTCTTTTGTTTTTTGTTTGTGGGGAGAATGCACGGTAACTTTCTATCCTCATAATAAAAGAGAAAAAAAACAGTATCAGAAGAGACGTTCACAGCCCGGCCAGCATGGCTCAGTGGTTGAGCGTCGACCTATGGCCAGGAGGTCACAGTTCCATTCTGGGTCAGGGCACATGCCTGGGTTGCGGCTTGATCCCCAGTAGGGGGCATACAGGAGGCAGCCAATCAATGATTCTCTCTCATCATTGATGTTTCAATCTCTCTCTCCCTCTCCCTCCCTCTCTGAAATCAAAAATATTTTTTTTAAAAAAGAGACATTCACAGAGAATAAAGTGAGAGAAATATTTCTAAACTATGTTTTGTTCTTGATTAACTCTGAATCCTTGGACATCTCTCATCCTCATCCATAACTGACTAGAGTTTGTATCTTAACAAGCATTTCTCCTTAGCAACTCAACATCAAAAAATAAAGGAATGTTTCCAAAGAAATACAGTTCAATTGGTAAAATATTTAATAATAAATTATTATCATTAATGAAAGGTGAAGATTATATAAAATATTGCAAAAATGTTCCATAAAAAGTAGAAATAACAAATGAAAAGAACATTACCTACAATGGAACACTAAACTATAAATTAATTTGGACTTATTCCCTTAGTACACACAGACTAAGAGAAATCTGGGTTTGAGGTAACTAACAGTTGTGTTTAACTTAGCATAACATAACAGATCTGGCAGCCTATCTATAAATGCTGGTATCAAATATTTTCATTTATTAGGAAAATGATAAGCAAGTCTTATTAAAAATCATATATGTAATTGAATATTAATTTTGCATTAAATAGGGGTTTAAATAATAAATTTTATATTAAATAGGATACAAATCTAAAGAGCAAGGAATTTTAAAATTCCACCCACTTCTAATATAACAGTGCTTTATACTTATACATGTTGTGAACCTGAAACTATTAAAGTGAATTAAAAATGGGAGATTGGACTTAGAAAAGGAAAGAAAATTCATATTCATATAAAGTATTATGGTTAAATTCCATATTATATTGCACATGCGTTAAGTGTTAAACATTAAAATCCATTTGAAAATCTTATTACTTTTAAATATATCCACAGATGGTCTCTGAAGGAAACAAGTCTTTAAGTTGATTTCTTGATAGTTATAATTGACCTTCCAGAAAGCAGAAGCTTATATTGAATATTTGAAGTAAATATACTTACTCAACAAGCAAATATATATAACACATCAGTTGTTTTAGTTTTAATATAAACTAAATTTTAAACTATTAATATTTACCTTTAAGTACTATAAATTCTAATACCATCAATTCAGTAAAAACTTTGGCATAAAAAAATAAATACAACTCAAATCCTTTCCTAACCAGAGCTGAATCTTCAGTATAAAATAGGAAGGAATCCTCTGCTGATATAAAAAAGTTCCCCAAATTATCTGTAAATACCATGGAATTCTATTATTCTTTCAGAATTCTTTCCATTTCTACATTTTTCTACCCATAGGTAGAGTTGTATTACAATACTGCATAAATCCATGTAATATACATTAATTTCTGTTGCTTATCTGATTAATTCAAGTTAAAATTCTCAGTACTTACCAAGATCCTATAAATTTCTACTAGATTACCATTAGTGTGCTATTGGTTTGAGTTACAAGTATAAAAATCAGAATGAAAGACGCTAAAATGCAACTATACACAGTTTCCACAGATGTGAGTGCTGGGCTTCGTGTTATGAAGTAAAATCTATTGTTTATTTTTCCAAATGAGAGACTACAAATCTCCTCTCATCTATCTGCCAATTTAAAACATTTCTTCACAACTTTAAAGAGGGAATAAGTTCTTTTAGAAATTTTTAAAAGTATCACACACGCTCGCGCGCGCGCACGCACACACGCACACACACACACACACACACACACACACACACAGAGTATTTTGTTCTTTTTCATTTTTTAAGAGCCAAAATTAGGTATTTCCAGGGAATAAATTAGATAACTATTTGTGTTCAAGCTATATTACCATGGATAAGTTCAGATAGCCTTTTGAAATACTGGCCTTATCAGATACCCAAAAAGCATAAGAATTATACAAAATAAGAAGTGTAAAATATCTCTTAAAGTAAAAATATAAAATTGGCAACAAATATCAGTTTTAAATAAAAGCTACTCATCAAATCAGTCTTCAGTCCACTTATCACATTGCTGAGGTTTGACAATATTCACCTTCTTTTCTATGACATCAGAAGTCACCAGAGTTGTACAGTTCTGGAAAGCTTCAACAATTTATGTAGCAGATAATTTCTTATAGTCCAAAAATTTTTTTTGCTTCCATAGACAATGCTGGTTCTTTGGGTTCCTGTTTAACTTGGTTCACAGAAATGGTACCTTCTGGGTTTTCTTCAACTTTAAAACAAAAAATAAAAGAAAAACCCTAAAGGTTAATATAATTTATAACACAGGGATCTTTAGAATTATATAAATTAGAAGCAAAGCATAAAACAATAGTTTGGAAAAAAGAACTAGGTAACTTAGAAAAGCAGTTGGTATATTTGAGAATTTAGTGCTTCTAACATCTTAATAGCCATTCATGTTACATTCCTTCAGTATGCTTCAAGTAATGAAAAAAGGAAGAGACAAGAAATCTATGAAGTTATTCTCCTCTAAAGATACTCTGACAAAAACGTAGTCCATAATGTGATCAAATTATAAGGAATAACTAATATTTAAACATAACTGTAAAAGCATCTGTGACTGAAAGTTAAGAAGCCTCCCATTATTTCAAAATAACTTGTTTTGCAAACAGCAGGCATATGTATCATAAATTCACAAATGTGTTTCCATTGCCATATGGTTTTCACATGTAGTCATATATTAAGAAAATGTTCCCTCTCTAAAGAAACTTCACTATATAAGTACTTTAGAAAAAATACCACAACTTAAAACAATAGTTCTGCATGAGCTATGTGTTTGCTGATCTAAAATATTTCAGGATAGCCCTGGCTGGTGTTTCTCAGTGGCTAGAGCGTCAGCCTGCAGACTGAAGGGTCCCAGGTTCAATTTCAGTCAAGGGCACATGGCCAGGTTGCGGGCCGATCCCCAGTAAATCAATGGAAAAATATCCTAGGGTGAGGATTAATCCCCCTGCCCCCCAAAAGTAATATTTCAAATAAATTTAAAAGACAATAATTACTTTCTGGAAGGAACTACTTCACACTTTTCCTTACCCGGAAGAATGATGATTAAAAATGTAGAGAAAATATATGTTCTAAGGATAATTTCTATGAAGATTTTGCTTTTCAAAGCAAACTGCAAATCTTTTCCCACTAAACTGCCCAATCCAGAACAATTAGTGGAAAAAGAAGTGACATAGGTCAAGTAGGAGTTAACAGTCTATTACTATGTTGACTGGGCTCATTACAAAGTGAAGGTAACAAAGCCATGTATTATACCCAAGTCCCCTTTCAAATTCCACAGAACTCAACATTTAAATCTATAACTCAAAATTATCCTTTAAATCTTTGTATCTGCCCACTTCATTCCATTTTCATTATGTGCATATTAATTTTTCTATAACCTTTTCATTAAATAGTTTTCCCTTTAAAGTTTAATTTTTCATGAATTCTAACATCACCATAGATTTTCCTGATCTAACATCACCACAGATTTTCCATGTAAAGATAGGTAATTAATGAATAATTACAGTAGAGAAAAAAAATGTTTGCTATTAAAACATATGCTCATAAAATGTTTTCCCTTTTTCTCATAGCTTTACTTGATTTCTTTACATATTATAAACCCACTGAGTAGAAATGATAGTTTTTTTTTCTGTAGTGTAGTGACGATAGCTCATAAAGTGTTTTTAAAAAAATCTTAAGATGATTTTAACTTACTAAGAGGTGGGTGGCTGTCTATAATTTGTATTGGAATGGTCTGTACATTTCCCAACAGAAACCGATGAACACTTCCTTCCAGATTCTCTGTATCCTCAGCATCTCCAACGTCCACCAGCTGATCCACTGCAGCCACATTTTGATCTGGTGCTGGAAGGTTATCCATGGTAGAGGCAATACTGTTGTTTGGGGTAAGGCATGTATCTGTTTGAAGGCCATGACTCTGACCACACTGTAGAGAATTATTATTTATTACAGTACTTCGTATTGAATCCAGAAGTCTTGAAGGACTAGAGGAGAGGTGGTCATTTACTGATATCAGAGCCGGTGATCCATCAGGAGAAGTGAATCTTGGTTGCAACTGTAAACCCTTTTAAATCAAAAAGAGTACATCAAAACGTTTGAATTTACTATATAAAAGTTCTAGTAGGCTATATTATTCTTTTGACACAAAATCGGAATAAAATATAAGAGTACAGTTGTAAACAAATATTATGTGAGGACAGAAATAAGAACCAAAGGAAAAGTAGGAAAACTAAATTTTATTGCATGCATAGTCCACGCAAACGTTTTCAAAATGTACTGTTTAAATTATCATTTTAAATCAAGATACAAAAAGTCAGGAAATTAACAATGAAAACATCTTTGATCATTATTATAATTCTATAACCAATCTGTAAGAAGAGGAGGAGGAGGAGGAGGAGGGGAAGGGAGGTAGAAGAAAGAAGAAAAAGGTCTCAAATTTGGCTATTTTACTGAATTTCTACCTGTAGTTGTGTGAATATTTTTGGCTGAAATGAAGAATGTGAGGAGGAGAGCAAATGGGCTGATTCTGGAGACAAAGAACCCCTTGTCTGATTTGTTTCCACTTTGGTGGTAGACGATTCTTCTGGCGAATTTCCTAAATTATATAAAAAATAAACTATTAAAACAAAAAAATGTACGGCTTCTAGGATACTAGACTTAATTACAACCTTAACTATCATGAAATAAGGTCAAAGGTTTGAAAAGAACTTTAAGAAGTTATCTAGTCCACTATTTCCAGAACTTGGTAGATTATCAGAATCACTAAGGGAACTTTAAAAATATATAAATTCCTAGGTTCAACCTCTATTAAATTTAATTCAGTACATCTAGGATATACTGGAAAAGGAAATAATTTTTTTTTCCTTGAAAGACTCTACATCTGTAACTCTAATCAAGTCCATTTTCCATGCCATGATTCTGGATCATACCTAAACTTCTCTAAATCTGAGAAAACTATTGAACCTCTCAATTACACGGACCAAACTTAACTCATCTTTGGTAGCCCTAGGACAATGCCTGGTATAAAGTAGGGCCTCAATAATAACAGTATAAAATTTCTTTCAATAATTCATTAAGGAACAAATGTTTTCTCAGTATTTCAATTTGTAAAGTAAATTGTCCTTAGGGAATTTGATTCCTTCTCATGTAATTCTTATGTTAACCCAAGTATATTCATCATTTTAAATCAATCAAAAACCAATTACCAACAGCCATTTATTGCTTTCATAAATGGCACTGGTGTCAGACAAGGATGGCTTTATTCTGTAACCTTCAACATGCTATTTAACCCAATTTCTAAATTTCAGTTTCCTCATCTGTAAAATAAGGATAATAAGGGAATCCTCCTCAAAGGACTACTGAGAGGATTAAACAGGACTCTCACATTTCTTGCCTTTTTCATTTCTAATTGTCCTTCTACTTCATTCTGCTACGACTACTATGGTCATACCCTGGACTATTCTACATCTAAAATCTCTAATTCAAACATCCCATTCTCTGATCACAACTTCTTATCCTCCCAGGTATTTTTGCTCAGGTACTCCATTACAAATTGTTCTTCAACCTCATGTGAACCTCCAGTCAAGTGATTCCTCAGTTTTCTTCAGATCTATCAACCTCTTTCTTAATAAAGTTATCTCCCCATCCAGCTTAGCGTGCTGGGTTTATAATTTTAGTAACACTCTTGGAAATATCCTGAACCCCCTTGTCTCTCTGTCCTTGGGTCATACCCACATAGTAAAACCCTAACTCTGGATGAAAATGGCTTCCACTGCCTATACATGTGAAGCCAAATGCCACTGAAGAAACTCACGGCTACTACCAAAACCAGTTCATGATCATCAACATCCACCTGACGGTCACCTGTATGTGACAACCTTACAATGTTTCTCCTTCTCTGTATTAGGAATGGTATCTAATCTCCATTGTCTTAAAATCTTGGCCACCCTTCCTGAGATCTTCTCTCATTTTTAGCACTCTTACTTCAAAGAGAAAAGAAAAGCTATCAGATAGAAATTTCTTCAACTTCCCACCACCAAAGCTATCAAATATCTTCACCTTCACCTATTTCTTCAGATCTCCCCTGTCTTAAAATGCCTTCTCTCAACCCCATAAACCCTTCATAGCAAACTTCTTGAAAAAGTAGGCCACACTGTCTCTATTTCCTCATCTCCCATTCACTCTTCATCCACCCACATGGCTTCCACCCAATCCACTCTACTGAAAGGGCTCTGATATGAAAGCTTTCCAAACCTGGTCTCATGATCTTTTTCTCTCTCCCCTGTGGTCACCAATACCTATTCTTATGCCAGTGTTACTGAGCTCAGTAAATGCCTCTATTTGTCAGCTGCTCATGGAAGAAACTCAGGAATCATTCTAGATTATTCCCACTCTTTTACCTCATGCACCTATTCAATTGATAACCAAAGCCTTTAGTTCTACTTTTAAAATAACTCTTAAATCTGTCCACCTCCAATATGAATGCCCCCTGTTAAACCAGCGTCATATTTCTAAGGCACAGCTGAAAGAGCCTCCTAGACCTGTTTTGCTTATTCAATTTTATCTCCAAGCATTATCTATGCTGAAAACCACACTAACTCTCTTAATTCCTTGAATATGACAAGCTCTTTCTTGCTTAGCCTTCGAACATGCTATTCCTTTGATGGTCAAATTCCTATTTATTCTTCAGTTCTTAGTCTAAAAGTCACTTTCTCAAGTGTCACTTCCCTACTCCCTGGACTGTTATATGTCTCTATCACTATTGCCACAAAATTTTGCAAAACTCTCTCATGATGCTTTCCCTAATAGTGATTAATTAGAACATATTGTTTGGTATCTTTTTCTCTTGCTAAACTTTCAATTTAATTAAGAAAGAAACTCACTTGTTCTCCATTAGGCCTGCCATTTATTACCTTGAGTGAAATATGCACAGAACAAATGAATAATGCTAAAGAATTTGAAAGTTATCTGTAGTCAGTGACTCAAAGGTTAATATGCCCAAGAATAAAGAAGTAATTGTGAGAGAACCAAGATGGCGGCATAGGTAAACACCAGTACTTGCTGCCTCTCACAACCACATCAAAACTACAACTAAAGACAAAACAAATATCATCCAGAACCATGGGAAAGCTGGCTGAGTGGAAGTTCTACGACCAAAAGGAAAGAAAAAAGCACAATGAGACTGGTAGGAGGGGCGGAAGTGTGGAGGCATGTGCGAAACCGGCTGGCAACTGGGTGCGCTGTTGTTTTTTTCAATCGGGAGGGAGATACAAGCTCCCTATTGCTCTGAACTCCAGTTCCCGGCGAGACCTGGGGACCCAGACTCATACAGGGAGAAACTGGACTGTCTAGCATCGGGACAGGAACATGAGGGCGGCTTTCTCTCAGAGGTGCTTGCAGCGATCATTGTTCCTGCGTCGGGGCACGGAATGCGGAGACACGGAGATGCAGAAACCTCCCCGGCGCAGGGCTGACTGGCAGCCATTGCTGTTTGCTCGCTCTGGTGATTCCCTGAAACACTGCCCCACCCAATTTACAACCCCACCCAAGCTGTGCGCAGCGGCTTTTGCATATGAATGGCCTGTTCTTTCGCAGCCTAACCTAACAAACTGCAGCTGGGTCAGAGAGCTCCAAAACTTCCAAAAGAAGGCCCAAGGCTCCGCAGCAGCAGCCTGCCTTGATTCACAGCTGCGCCTCATCTGGGCACTTCCAAACCCCAAACAAAGGAGGAATCTGCAGATCTCTCTGTAGCTCCTGCTGGGTGGCCTCAGGCAGTGGCTGACTTTGCACCTCCTTGGAGATCCAAGAGCCAGTGTACCCAGTGGTCAGTGT